GGATGACATTTGTTAAAGAGCTCTAAACATATACTATCTACTTAATATTTTTGAATAGTATGATTTTGTAGAATTAATGTTGAGTCCCTTTTATGCTGCAGGTCAGAGTTTTGCTGACAATTTTGCTCTCGAATCGAAGCTGGTGAAGTGGGAGTACATGAAAGCACAGGGCATCCTACGTGCACAGGCGGACTCCGAATTTGGTGCACGTCGCATAGGAGCCAACGGACCACGTCTAACTACCGTCCTTCGTGGCCGAGCCCAGGCAGGGGGTGGGGGGACCCATGGGGTAACTCGTGGCCCCGCAGGTCGTGAGGAAGGCCACACTGGGAGTCAGATGCTCGAAGGCCTCTCAAACCTTCTGGGCACGGACAGTGAATTTATTGAGGGCCGATTTGAGGCGCTGCAGACTTGCTATTCCAAAATCGCCGGCCTTGAGGATCGTATGGAGAAAATCGGCACTTTAATGAGGAAACTAGCCACGACGGTTACAACAATCTCCCATATGCAAACACGGGTGGGTAGCCAAAGCCCTAGTGAGATCTATACTTAGTCTGTCTGGCTTGATGTATTGCTCACAGCACTTCCTTTTTTCGCCTGCAGATTCTTGCTAGTCTTGAGCCTGGACAGGGAAGACGACTTGTCGGCCAGGGCAAATCCAAACGTCATCCAAAAACCACGGAAATCACCAATCAACTCATTGCTGACGTTATTAGGGAGGCTGTGAAGGGACTATCAAAACACTGCACAGATATAAATGAAAAAATAGAAGAAAAGTTAGTTTTCACTCTTCTTATTTTCTGGCTGATCACACTTTGCGTCACTACTCTGAAAGTCTACAGTCGGGGTTTCAGCTTTTAACACAACTTAGCTAGCACAACTAAATAACATAGGCTTAACGCTAGACCCCACTGGAATCTGACATTTGCATCTAAAAGTAAAGCCTACGTTAAAGCCATTCATAGCTTTGAACATGACCGCAAACTTAACCTCTGGCATGACTGGAATTTTTGACAAATTCCGAGGGCGTGCAACGTCAAGTTTCTTTAAACTGTCTTCCATTCAGAGATTTTCTTTTATGGAGTATTTTTATTTTCATGAATGGATGCAAATCTTAAACCTCCAGGTGAACCACATTTGACGGATCCGCTGCATAGTACCGAAATTTACGAAAGATTGCTTATCACTCGCAAAATGGCACCAAGGAATGTTTCAAAGCTTTGCAATAATAATGAACATTCAAGAAGTTTAAAAGTAAGTTGGGGCTCTCTTGTGAGGCTGTCAAAGGAAGAAAGTTCCCCGCCCAAGTTTCTTATAGAATTCGTGGTTAAATGGAAATTAGCGGTATTCGCAATTGTTTTACTTAACTAATAATGTAGGTGAAAAGTTTGCGAAAAGGACGACAAGACTGAAACGGAAGCCTCTAGATCAATAAAAATAGCACATCAACTCCTTTTGGTTAACATACTCAAGGAGGTGTTTTGATAGACGGAGACTCGACCTGCTGAAAATGTGGAAGTATACTTTTATTATTAATCACAGGCAGAAGCGGTGTCACCAGAAAGCCTTACCAAAAGTTATACCTGTTGGGTAGAAATACTAATTTTTCAGGAAAAGCAGAAAATCCTAAAGGCATCAGAAGTCGCCGTAACTGGCTCTTCAAAGTGCAGCAAGCCTGTTTTTGCAAAAAAACAAATAAATAGATCAGTAAAAGAAGAAATACAGTTGAAAAAAAACTTCTTTAGTGGAGTTTGCACTTAAATATAACTTCAGAATAAGTGTGAATCATGGGCTGGTTAATTAAAAGCAGTCTATGCGTCGAGTGCAGATTCGAGCACGGAGTCACGAGAATCGCCTATTTTATACCCGTTTGGTTTACTAAGCTGCGGTCGCCTAAGGTAAACAGGGTTTTGCTAAAGTTCGCCGATAGGGACGTCAAAAGTATAAAACGTTGGAAAAGGCCGCGTGTTGACAGGCTGGTCAGTGACTAATCATTTTAAATGGAATTGTCAGTGCAATCTAAAAAATACCATGCCTATATTAACAGATCTTTCTATCAGACAAATTTCTTTATCGGTATTTCTGACATCGACATACGAGGAGTTTCCGATTTTCCATTAAATAAGGACGAATACTTTGCAATTTCCAGTGTCTTAGATCAATCCTCCATAAAGGCGTTCCATCAAAAGCCTCAAAGTAGGATATTTCATTAAGATAAATTTGCTGAATTAATGAGTACTTGAACATTATTTCTAATGCAGATGGCAGTTTAATTCATATTTTAAACTCACCTAAACATAAAATCTCACGTCCAAGAGAAGGTGAGTGTCTACAATAATAATTGGCGGTGACTTTGCCTTTATTGAACAAGTTAACTTCTTAAAATGTACCTAAATTCGGTATTTCGTCGACGGGTGCCTGTGTACTTTATCTATTTCCACGTTTAATTTGAGGTAAAAAATGAGACGTCTGATTGATTTTTCCGCTGCTCCGAAAATTAGTGATGCCTCTCCTAATGAAAATGAAAGAACTCACTTCTCTCTTTACTTTGAAGATTCTACGCCATGTTTGTTTACTTCTTAGGTTCCACTCTACGATTTTAAATGCACAGCAGCATAGCTATATAAATCTTAAGATATTGCAAAAACTACGCATCTCCTAGGTGTTCCGCATTAGTTAAAACTGGATCATCCTAATTGTTTCATGCCCTACGCTTCAAATTTAAGATAACTTTTTATGGTGGGCCGACTCGTCGATACCGATGAGATTAAGCGCAAGGTGCCGAAAACTAAAGGGAATTTTAAGCTATTGATTGCCAATAGATGTTTGTACTTCGTTTTAAGGCATCAAACCACACCGATTTGCAAATCTAAATTTTAAAATCAATAAAAAAAAATCTGAGTCTCTAGAAAAAAGAACATCTTTTTCGCACCTTACTCCATCCGATTTACCGCCAGGAAACGCGGTAACGTGGACTTTTGCTCCAATTTATTAAAATTTTGACAAATGGAATTATTTTTAAACATGTTCTGTGGGACATCAAAGGCATTTTTCGGAATATGCACCGAGAATAAAGCGGATGGGCAGCATTTTGGCTGCCGACAACTGTTCGTCTCCACTTCCGTCCTCACGTTTCATTGGGTAGACCACATACTGTACGCACAGGAAAAAAGACTGTTAGAGCGCCGGAACGAATTCATTCCTCATTTGAGCTTTTTATCTCGTATAGGAGTCCATTCTCAAATGTAATCCTGCCACACACCACGATGTTAGCCGCCCAACAACGCATCGATCAAATCCGCAAATGAGAACTCAACAGCGAGGACGAAAGAATGGAAATATATTGCCATATGCTAGCAGCGTACTTTATAAAGGCAAGCAGGCCATGTACGAGCCTGCAATCGGACAAATCAGATATTGTCCTCAAGCGGGTAGCAGCTCGCCTGGCCTTCTAGCTCATCAGAATGGCGGCCACTTGCTATGACTCGTCATCCTATCCCACAGCCAGCTCATTTCCATGTATGCGCGATCCGAGTATTCGTTCAGTCTACTCTGTGTATTTACTGTTGAGAATCTCCAGATTTCTAAAAAAAATGGACGGGCAATCAACCTCACTGGTAATTACGTCCGCGCCCCCTTGCGTGCTGGCCTAGGCGGGTAAATCGACCCAAGTGGGACTAGATGCACAGCTGCCGGGGGGACCTTGATAGGTCTGTACTAAAGCCTTCCCTCTTTGGCGTGGGTTTGAATCCCACCGAGGGCAGGGAACTATAGAGGGTGCTTGGAAGGCCAACTCATGCAATAACCGCTTACTTATCAATTGTAAGTAGGGTGAATTTTACACAATCTTCCAATTTTTCGCGCGCCGGCCTTTGGTTCAATTGGGATTGGTGATGATATTGAACAACAGCGGGGTCCTCGGAGGGCTAACATGTACAAAAACTGCTTAAGTCGGCTTTTGAAAGTAAACATGTGAATAACCGCTAACTTACACATTTTAAGTAGGGTGACTTTTCACAATCTTCCAAGTTTCCCTTGCCCACCGTTAATTCAGTTTGGATTAGTGATGCTATTAAAAAATGTACCTCTGTGACCTTATCCAACGTCAGCGAACACCCCTACATACACGCGCTCGCCGTTGCTCCGGTAGGGATTAGTGATGATACTGAAATGTACCTCAGTGACCTTGCCAAAGGTCAGCGAACAACCCCTAACTTACGCGCATAACTTTCTTAATTTACATGATTATTGCGCACTGATTTGTCTGCC